AAGATGTAATTCATTATTATATTGTAAAAGCAAAGTTTTAGCGTATTATGTGTACAAGAACATAAAAAATGAAAATCCGTAGGTGCCAGGTAGAAAAAAATCATCTGAGGGATGCGAGAAAAATATCGCCAGCTAATTATGTAATTTAAGTGAACTACCTTGAAAAGAGGCATAGGATTCTGTAATTATGCATAAAATATATATAAGAATATAAGATTTTTCATGATGTTAAAATATGAAGATACTAAATTTTACAATGAGCTACTCCTTTCCTATCTTCATTGTAGTCTAGAAAAAATCTTAAAGACCAATTGTCAGTTTTAAACATTATTGGAATTCAAAAAAAAAAATGAAATTGAATTCGAATCACTACGCCTTTACAGGATTTCAAAATTCCATAAAATCCTTAAAAACAAAAATGCAGTAAATGTTCAACCAATATTCTTTTTTAATTTTTACTATCATTGAGGGAAAAACATAAAGAGTATTGTACATCAATATATTTAAATATTGTGTTAATTATATGTGGATACTTCAAAGCTTCAAAGAACTTAAAGAAAAATAAAAAAAAATACATAGAAATTAATTTTACCAGAATCAATAATATCATAAGTTACGACGTGTGACGCTTTATAAACTTGTTAATAAATCGGGGCATTTTGACATAGGCAGCTACTTTCTCAATTAAAATGGAACTCATAAAAAATATTTGTCATTAGTCATTTGCAAAATTATTTTGTCAAAAACGTTCTGCTTGAACACAAAAGCTCTTTTTTGGTATTTGGTATTAAAAGAAACTTGAGTTTCTGATTGAGTTTTATCTTATCATGTGGTAGATTCTACCACTACGATAAAGATATGCAGGTTTTGAAAAGGAGGACTATTATTTGTGATTTTATATCTGCTTTATCCATTGAGGCAGACATAGAATTATTAAATCAAATACGCTTAATAACCACTGTGTGGTAACTCACAGTTTATTACAGTTTTCCTGTACTGATAGGTCAGGTGTATAGTGATAATCAGCAGTGCTGATAATTCATAAGGAACTGAAAAAAATGTCATAAAAATATTGAAGATATTTTAAATACTCATCTACCAGAAAAGTTTTGGTTTTTTAAAACATTCATATCATTTTATAAATCAGATAACATGTCTGTATATCATTTATAATTTTTAGCCACTATAAATACTAAAGTCTAGAGCAATAAAATATTGCCTTTATGCTTGAACAGTTGAAGTGTATTTAGGCAAAATAAAACGTAAGTGACTGTATTCTAGAGAACTGAAAAAGTTCAATTGATAGATTTATGCTGAAGATTAGTTAGATGATAAGGAACAATGTAACAATATAGAAATAGATAATTCAGATTATAAACGTCAAAGAGCATAGATAACAAACGTTAAGGACGATTGAAGGTCATTAAATCTTTTTTCGATACGCTGATATAAAAAATGAGTATTTTTTCTGAGTACCTTGTTTGGTTGATAGTTGTGTGTAGGCAATGTACATGTTCTACTACAATTAGATGCAAAAGGTAAGGGTCGTGGTATGAGTTTAAGATTTTAATATCAGTTTACTGAAAGAAATTACAATTTATAAAACGAAAATTATAAATTATTGACAAGCAAGTTAATAAAACAAGAATATCATCAGTTTAAAGTCATCATTTCGTATTTCTGTGGTCGATCTTATGACCTTGTTAGCAAATACAAATCATCATTAAGTCAAATGCTGACTGACGTTTTTCATACTAATTGTTAGTATTCAATTTATACACTGAATTGACAAGAGATTTGCCGTTATTATCTTATCATGACAAGGAGTACACGGCTGGTGTGATAGGTCAGCAGGGGATGCTCAATCCTCCATGGCACCTGATCCCACCTCTGATGTTTCGGAGGTCCGTGTTTGCTCTGCTCCTATTTATTGTTATATGGACTTTGATATAATAATGTTCGTCATCTCCATATCCTTCTTGAAAGCACTGAGACTAAAAATATTGGGATATCCGGTTTGATAGGTGTTTCATATTGAATGATCGGCTTCGGCCGATCATAGCTGATTTCGCATGAGGCATCCTGTAGCTTTATGAAACTGCGTTCATTGTACGCCATGCAGCCTACCTTGTTAAATTGGTTGCCAAAATGACTAAAGTAATTACATTCAAGGAATAATCGAGAGTTACACATGATGCCTCCGATACGATAGATAGATTATCTGTGCTGCGATGGTTGCTGTTCATGTGCAATTGGTTCGTGAAGTTGTTGGGGTAACCCTTGTAGTTAAGTTCTCCCATAGAGTGATATGGATCGGCCTTTAGTCAGGATTCTGTTTGCCCGGATCATATACTTTATATCGACGTTGAATGTTAAGTGGAACACAAGATGAAGATGAATTTTGTTCAAACCAAACTCAATGCTGAGCTTCAATGGATAACGGAAGATGAGAAAAGGAAGAGCAAAATGTACATGTAACGGATGTGGCTATGCGAATTATGTACATTTGCATGAGAGTTACTTTTTTCTGGACCATATCTCTATTTTTCTACATAACATGACTTAAGGATGAATTCTTCTGATCAATTTACCCCAAGTGGGTCTTCGTACTTAGACATGTCGTAAAATTCAAACTGATAACAATTTACAAAGTTTTAAAAGTTTTTATGATTTATATGTTTAACTATATTTATATTTAAATAAAAAATCTTTCTATGTTGTATAAATGACCAACACGTGTGCAAAATTACGATATTTACGACATAGGCCTAAGAAAGTCGACAAGTGTCGAGGTGAAATCGACATCGAGAGGGGAAGACTCAAGAAGATGGGATCGCCCGTTTCAAAGCGACCGGAATGCCGAATGGCACTCCATTAAAAGAGCCAACCGACAGAAATTTTAAAACATTTAAAAAATTGTCGAGATCACAATTAAGCCTACAGGAACATTCTCGAAAGCGGTACCCAAACATATGCCAGCCAAGAGCGCCGAAGTGTGTTGACGCAGTGGAAAAGCGAAAATGTAGGTTTACAATGCTTTCAAACTTATTGAAAATAGCAATGTTTGTGCGTTATAGATACAAAGGTTTCAAAATACATAGTATACTGTCACATCGCAAAGTCAAACATAGCATATTACATGTTACATGTACGTAACGTTAGGCCTAAGGTCTCCAGAGGCGTGCAGACGACAACATTCGTATTATCTTTTTTGTTACAACTTTATAGCTTTTAGTATATGATAAATTATCTTTGATATTGTAAATGCAGAATCTCTATCTCAAATTTATAGACATACCGTAAGAAAATGATAAGACAACATCTATAATTTTTAGCTGTGTACATTCGGTAAGAAACTAGGTCGCTTCATTCTATGGCGGCATATGCCGGTTAAAAAAATGGAATATTTCTGAAACATCATGGAACATGTAGAAATTATTTTAGTCTAAACTACAGGCCTGGGTTCATAAAAACAAAGTCAGATAGACAAAATAATGATTTTACATTTTTGAACAATGATATTACCAGTAAATTATAATCTAATTTTTTTCTAAAATAATTTTTTACAGGTAAGTCTTGTTTTCACAAGAATCACTAATGAAGGCTTTTAGAAGAGAGCAGGATTTAAGAACCACTAAAATCAGATGGAGAAAACCATAAAAATCAGATTGAGAAAGTGGGACTGGATTTGATTAATCCCTGTGAAGCCACCATCCAACACCACAAACCAGACCCAATCTGGAACCCCCAGGCCAAGAGAAAGAGAGGACATCCAACAGACTATTGTGAAGTGTTATGTGTTAATTGATTACTTTTTGTTCTTAAAAATCTTTTCTTAACAAAATTGTAAATATTACCTGAATGTATCACACCAATTTTGAATATTTGGTGAATAAAACACATACTTTGATGCCTAAATGCTTGATTTATTTTCATTAAATGCTGAAAAAGAAACATGAGGTGGGGATATAAAAAATATCAAAACTTTCTTATATGTGCACTAACGTAACCCCTACTTTTCATGCTATGAAAAGAAGCCATAATACCTAAAGAAATTGTACAACAATTTTCTTAAAAAGTTTAATTGTAGAAAAATGTTTTTCTTTGGTTTTTCGAGCAATTTTATAGGGAAAAATGTGCCTAATTTTGACATGGGTGAACAACATTTTTGGGTACAAGTTATCTAATTGGGATTTATTTGCTCATATTTTGTTTAAAAAATCAACTTTGCAATACTTTCAAGTAAATGTAAGCCAAATGAAGTTTTAATTCACTATATTTATAAGTTTTATGAGGTATTTTATTGTCTAGTAGCATTTTAAAGGAAATTTCCCATGCTCTATTTTGGCCTATGTTCAAAGGGTTGAACCTCTCTTTGATGAACACTAACATACACTTTTCTTGTCTTTAAATTATTCCTTGGATATTACACTTTCAGAAAAATATAAGCATTTGAAAAGTTTAATAAACGTTTTTTTTTTCGGGTATCAGAAGAATACATCCTTAACTCATAACGTCATCAAATTGTACGTCATCAATTTGAATTTAGCAATCATTCATGTAGTTTCGCAGGGGAAGTCTCAAAGTTTTGTTAAAATGAAAGTCGTATGAGATAAATAGAACATCTATAATTGTGTGATTTGATATTGGCTTTATCCAACTCGTTGAAATGGTGTATATTCGCTCGACAAGCCTCGCGAATATATACACCATATATACACCATTTCAACTCGTTGGATAAAGCCAATATCAAATCACACAATATAGATATCCTCTATATATTTATTTGAGCTATTATTTTTTATTTTGCCTGCATTGATGTTTACGTCTTCCAGTTGATTTGCAAGAGCATACTCTTAGTACAAACAATTTGAAAAACATTGTTCATAGTTCCTTTGACAGCGTTGTGTTAAGGTTAAGATGGTCCTATAAAGCTTTTATTAGCCTGTAGAAACAACATACCTAAAAAGCGTTGTACATCTTTCTTACATTTTGGAGTATCAGTTTGTTATGGCCTTGACCTTTGCCTCGTCCGGCTTGATTCCCTCTGCAGATATAATGTCACCAATGAATGTAAGTTCCTTAACTCTAAATACGCATTTTTCGCGATTCAGTTTGAGATTTGAATTGCGCGATGCATCAAACACCTGCTGTAGTCGTTGGTTGTGTTCTTGTAGTGTTGATCCCCAGACGATGATGTCATCCATCATTGTCGTGCATCCTCGTTCATATATCATGTAAATGGTCCTGTGATATATCTCGGGCGCTGATGAGATACCAAAAGGTAGACGCAAAAATCGATTCCTTCCGAATGGTGTATTGAAACAGGTAAATTTTGATGAATTCTGCTCCAGTTTCATTTGCCAGAATAGGGTGCGAGCATCAAGTTTACTGAAAAAATATGCATTCTTGAACCTGGCATGAATCTCATCTCGCGTTTGCAGCTTGTAATGTTCTCTCTGTATCGCTTTGTTCAACTGAATTGGATCCAGACACACACGGATTTTTCCGTCTTTTTTGAGAACGATTACAATCGGACTCACCCAATCTGTATACTCAGTTTCTTTGCATATGACGCCCATATCCTCCATGCGTTTAAGTTCATCTTTGAGTTTTTCATGTAGAGCGAAAGGTATTTTACGACATGGACTCACTACTGGTGTAATGTCTGGATCTATGGATAATTTTTGTTCACCTGGTAAACATCCTAATCCTTCGAACAAGTCATTATTTTGATCCACAATCTGTGCAGTTGTGTCTGTAATCTTTGTGCAGTTTTTTATGGTATATGTGCGTTTTACTAGTCCTAACTTGTCGCAAGCTTTTACGCCTAAGATTGCTGTTGAAGCATCCTGTACTATCACAAAGTAGACCTTAGCTGCTTTTCCCTGATGAGAAACTTCCAGAACACATGCTCCTAGGACCGGAATACATTGCTTGCTGTATAACATAAGCTGTATATTCGTCTTGTGGAGTTTTGGCTTCCATCATAGACTGTGATACTGTTTCTCCAATAGGATGTTGACTTGACTGCCTGTATCCAATTTGTAGTTGATTCCTTTGCCATTAGTGCATAGAGTTACACGCCCCTCCTCTGGTTTGTCGGAATGAACTGTTTCCAGACTGTCGATGAAGAAAGCTTGTTCATCTTGAATGTCATGCATGTGTTTCTTTTTCTGCATTTTCTTTTTAGTACTACTTTGTTTGCTTTTTGTTCTGCAGACTTTTGCGAAGTGATTTGAACCATTGCACTTATTGCAGATTGGACACATAGCGGTGCAAGTCTTATGCGAATAATCATATCCACACCGTCCACAAATTTTACCTTGCTTAGATGCCCGCATTTTTTTTTTGTCTTTGGGTTTGAAACCAATGGAATGTACTTCAGAGAGAGGAACAATACTTTTTATGTGTTCCTTTGTCGACTCTGCTGCTCTACAGGTTGCAAGTGCTTTGTCTAATGTTAGATCGACTGTTCGTAAAAGTCTCTCTTTAAGCGTGTTGTCTGGGACCCCACATATTATTCTGTCACGTATTAGAGAATCTGCTAGTTCTCCAAACTCACAGTTCTTTGCCATCGTTCGTAATTCCGTCACATATTCGTCTATGGTCTCATCGAACCTCTGCACCCTCGTAAAAAACTTGTGTCTCTCATACGTAGTGTTTCGTTTTGGTGTGCAATAAGCCTCAAATTTGTCGAGTATTTTCTTAAATTTAAACTCATCGCCTTCCTCAAATACTAAGGTGTTATAAACTTGAACTGCCTCTTCTCCTACTATGTGTAAGAAAATGCGTGATTTTTGTTTGTCACCTTTTTCGGACGCACCTGTAGCCGTCATATAAACATCAAACCTCTGTTTGAACTTCTTCCAATTTTCTGCCACGTTCCCCGTGAGCGAAAGTACTCCTGGTGGTTCCAGTTTGTCCATTGTAACCTTCTGACACCATGTGTTAAGGTTCAGGTGGTCCTATAAGGCTTTTATTAGCCTGTAGAAACAACATAAGAATGTCGTCGGGTCCATGCTTTTAATTCTGTGTTCCTTCACATAATTGATGACGTAATACACAAAAGGGGTCAATTCAAAACATATACATGATACCACTTGTGAACATCTTTAAGAAGTCCCTGAATGACTGTCTACTACGATTACAAAGACTGCTGCTGAGGGTACAGAAATATGATCTACGTATTGGCTACACACCAGGAAAATTCATGCATACCGCTGACGCGTTGTCCAGAGGAACATATATGTCCAAGAAACTGACAAAATCAGAACAGGAGGAGGATCTCAAAGTATATGTTGACTCTGTCATTAAGAGCCTACCCATATCAGATCGTAAGCTACAGAAGATTCGTGAGGAAACTCAACATGACCCAAAATTGCAGTTATGTACTGGCAAAAGTAATTGTAACAGATTTCCAGAAACGCACACTGAATGCCCTAAGGAAATATCAGAATACTGGAATATACGGACAGAGTTGAGTTTATGTGATGGAATCATCATGAAGACAGACCGCATTGTTATTCCAGTCTCATTGCGAAAGGAGATGCTTACCAAAATCCATACAGGTCACCTTGGTATCGAAAAATGTCGAAATCGAGCCGAACAAGTGATGTACTGGCCTGGAATGTATGCACAAATCGAGGAAATGGTTAATTCATGTTCAACATGTATCAAATTCCGTCCAAAACAACCGTCCGAACCGCTTAAACCACATGATGTATGCAATTATCCATGGGAAAAAGTGGGAGCAGATTTGTGTGTATTCAATTAAGAATTTTTCTTGTGTTATGTGATTACTATTCAAATTATCCGGAAGTGTGTCGTTTGCACAGTGTGTCAAGTCAATCAGTCATTAATCCAATGAAATATGTGTTTGCAGGCCAAGGCATACCTAAGATAGTGTTCAGTGATAACGGACCAAAATTCAAGTCAGCGTAATTCAGTGAATTTGCAAAGACATATGATTTTCAGCATCATACGTCAAGTCCATTATACCCAAAATCGAATGGGTTAGTCGAGAAAACTGTAGTCATTGTAAAGGGCCTATTGAAAAAATCGGCCGATGATGGATCAGATTTCCACATGAGTCTACTTATCTACCGTGCAACTCCTATACTCGATAGGAAATCACCAGCCGAAATACTGAACAATGGACGTAAACTGCGTTCGAACTTACCAATGGCTTATATTTGCCGTGGAAACTATTTAACCGAGTCTTATGAAAGAGCAAAGATGCAACAGAAACTCAAACAAAAACAGTATCATGACAGAAACACGAAAGACCTATCGCCATTGAGTCCCGGACAAACCGTCCGTCTTCGAGATCATAATGACAAGGACTGGGGTAACTGTGGCAAGGTGCTAGACCAAGTTGCTCCGAGGTCATACGTAGTTCAAACCGAAAATGGACATGTATACCGTAGAAATCGTAGACATATTTTGCAATCAAATGAACAATTTACACCATATGAACAATATACGGAAGCGTATTAGTGCCACGCAATATTTTTTTTAAAGTTGGTAATTCCAACTTTAAAGTTGGAAATTCCAATTTTAATCTTGGCTTTTCCAACTTTAAAGTTGGTAATTCCAACATTAATCTTGGCTTTTCCAACTTAAAAGTTGGTAATTCCAACTTTAATCTTGGCTTTTCCAACTTTATAGTTGGTAATTCCAACTTTAATCTTGGCTTTTCCAACTTTAATCTTGGCTTTTTCCAACTTTAAAGTTGGTAATTCCAACTTTAAAGTTGGTAATACTAACTTTAAAGTTGGAAATTCCAACTTTAATCTTGGCTTTACCAACTTTAATCTTGGCTTTTCCAACTTTAAAGTTGGTAATTCCAACTTTAAATTTGGTAATTCCAACTTTAAAGTTGGAAATTCCAACTTTAATCTTGGCTTTTCCAACTTTAAAGTTGGTAATTCCAACTTTAATCTTGGCTTTTCCAACTTTAAAGTTGATAATTTCAACTTTTAAAGTTGGTAATTCCAACTTTAATCTTGGATTTTTCAACTTTAAAGTTGGTTTTTCCAACTTTGATATTGGCTTTTCTACTCGCTTTTCTTAGATTTTACTTTTGTTAACAGTATCACAGACTTAATTAAAATGAAAATAACACACTGAAATAGATTTGTTAGCAATTTATCATTGCAATCTAGGGGTAGGGGTCTAAATGGGGGGGGGGGGGTTGGAAGAGCGGACGTTATTATGGGGAGTTATAATATGCACTTTTACAAAGGAAAATAAATATTAGCACATTAAAATAAATTGTTGAACTCTTTTTATCTGTGTTTGTTTTATTATTTTTCTTGACCTTCCTTATGACCTTACATAAAACTTCCAACTTTTACTTAGAAATCCTTATATTCCTTTAAGTTCTCTTGTGTAATTCTATTGAGAATAACTTCCTATAAATTATGGACACAGTATTCCGTACATGACAGGATTTCAACTTAACCAATTACATATAGAAGTCATTTATTGTGTATTGTATGAAAGAAGGAGACAACAATTAAATACTCAATGTAAACAAATTTAATTTAATCAAATGAAACTTTTTCTACTAAATTAAATACAAATTGTATCAATTCCACACTGGCGCGGATCCAGTATTTTTTCAGAGGGGGGGGGGGGGGCACCCCAGCCAGAAATATGTTGACAAGCAAAAAATTAACAAGTAAATGTATAATAAAATCCTTCTTAAAACGTCAAAAGTCAAAGTTGGAAAAGCCAAGATTAAAGTTGGAAAAACCAAGATTAAAGTTGGAAAAGCCAAGATTAAAGTTGGAATTACCAACTTTAAAGTTGGAAATGCCAAGATTAAAGTTGGAATGTCCAACTTTAAAGTTGGAAAAGCCAAGATTAATGTTGGAATTACCAACTTTAAAGTTGGAATTACCAACTTTAAAGTTGGAAAAGCCAAGATTAAAGTTGGAATTACCAACTGTAAAGTTTGAAAAGCCAAGATTAAAGTTGGAAAAGCTAAGATTAAAGTTGTAATTTCCAACTTTAAAGTTGGAAAAGCCAAGATTAAAGTTGGAATTTCCAACTTAAAAGTTGGAATTACCAACTTTAAAAAAATATTGCTTGGCACTAATACGCTTCCGTAACAATATGATTGTCAAAACAATGATAAAGTTGATCATTTTAGTCATAATCCATGTGATAATGAAAATACTCAATCACTCGGTCAGGATATGTCTATTTTCACAAACCATGTACCAACACAAAATATGTCATGGACCACAAGGTCTGGTAGGTCAGTTAAGAAACCACAGAGATTAATTGAAGAGATTTAATTTGTTGTTTTTGGGTCAGATCAGTACCATGAAAATTGGGTTTGAGTGTAAGAACATAAACATCTATGTCATATGTTGTAAATTTTGGATTAGTTGTACTGTTTGTTTTGTACTTTTGAAATGCTAGTCAGTTGAATTGCACAGACAATTTCTTAGTTTTATTTTGACATTATAGTTTCAGTGTTGTAATTTATTAATGTTGGAGCAAAAAAAACAGAACTGTTAATGTATCAGCGTTCATTACATTGCTACATACTAAATCCTAATTTTCAACCGAACTTAATGTATTAACCTAAGAAAAGTTTATGCAGGGTTTTACATCTTTTGCTATGTCAGAAAATTTATTGTAGTTCATGACTCAAATTTAAAAGAGGGAAGAGGTATCAATTATATGTTTTTAATTGACCCCTTTTGTGTATTACGTCATCAATTATGTGAAGGAACACAGAATTAAAAGCATGGACCCGACGACATTCTTATGTTGTTTCTACAGGCTAATAAAAGCCTTATAGGACGACCTTAACACAAGCGTTTTAGAAGAGAGAGAGAGAGCGAGATAGAGAGAGATAAATCAGTGTTGATGGATATCAATTTATTCTTTTTTTGCTATTAAAACCTATAAACCGGGAAAAATTCCTCAATGC